TGGGCGTTTGTGCCCGCCCCCGCCCTCCCGGGCAGCGCTCCTGGGGGCCAGGCTGTTGTTACTGACTTGTCCCTGGAAAGTGGGCGCTGTCCACAGGCCTGGGGATCACCCTGGGGGTGAGGCATTCCAGCCTCACTGCCTGCCGCTCTTAACTGGAGGGCCCCTGTATTGGGAAGTAAGAAGGAGAGTGTAAGCCACTGGAAAGTAGCGCTGAAGTTTAAAAAAAATGCCTTATTGCATGGCAGGGTATGTCCCCATGAACATATATATGCGTGCGTTCATATTCTAAAAACTGGAACTACCTTTTTTAAGTTTCTTTGTTTTGTTAATAGGGAATCCCAGCAAGTTCCTTTTGCTAACAGCACTGAAGGTTTTCACCAGTCATATTCGTTTGCTCAGATGCTAGGCCTAAAAGATACTTAAAAGGCTGCCCCTTTCATATTTGTAGGTTTTCATGGGAATATTCTAATCCTGAGAGTGTTTACTCTTGCTGGATGTTTGTTTTCTTTTGGTTAATGACAGAAGAGGCATAAACATTGACACGAGGTGTCCTTTATAGATCAGTGAAAAATAGGCCTCAAGATGTTTTGAACCCTTTAATTGCTGATACTAAATTAGTCCAAATTTTAGTAATTCAAAAGCTTGACGTGGGAGCTGAACCATGTTACCCGACCAGTTTTTCGAACTAGAATGAAAGCTAAAGCAGCTGCACTAGTGTTATGTCCTCTGATCCCTCATTCAATTTAAATCTGGTAGGTATGTTTGGGCATATAATAACTCACAGATGTCAGTCATGGGTTTTTTGAGCCATTGCTCCCCTGGGATTATCCTGGGTTCAATCCAGTAAGGAGCAGATTATTTAGCAATGTGTAATCCTTTAAAAAAAAAAAAGTCTTATTGTTTAGCTGATGAACTATAGAGCATGCCCACTAATTCTGAGGTTGATAGGAAGTTGAAAGGGTTAGGTGACTTAGTTCAATTCATAGTTATTTGGCACGATGACTAGAGAAAAAGTATAACAGGAGCCCAGTGCCTTCTTTTTTAAAGTTTTCACGCTTTAAAACCTAACACTTTAGGAACACCTTAATGATTAGGGTTGTTTTGTTTTGTTTTTAGGTAGAAAGAAATTAAAAGAAAAGTAGGATACCTAGAACATTCTCATATGGAAAAGTAAAACCTTTTGAAGAAAGAAAAAACAGTTGTAGTTGTGTGTGTGTGTGTGTGTGTGTGTGTGTGTGTGTGTAAGAGAAGGTTGAAGAGTGATTGGTCTTTTAGAAATTCAAAAAATCCTCCTCAGATGGGAATAAGAGTTTTAAGTTAAACAGAAAGGAAAACTTTCTGCTCATGCATACTTTCATACAAATTGGATTGTACCGATAAAGGGAATTTATTTTTGGACTCTGTAAAGAGTAATGTATCCACCAATGTGGTAATATTTATTTTGTAATTTTGTCTGAAGGTTAGGGAATGTGAATTAGATAATAGGAATCCTTCCTACTCTGTGATGTACAATTGCCCCTCTGGATCATTAAGTACATAGTTTACTGATAAAAAATACTCAGGATTTTATTTGTCTTCTTCCCTTCCAAATTAGAAATTATCAGAGTAATTCATTTTTTCCATTTTGTAAATAATAGAGATTTCTCTCTTACCCATTTGTTCTCTTTCTCCTCTGCCTTTTCTTCAGTGGAAGCTGACATTTTACTGATGGTTTATCAATCTGTGTATCCTGCTGGGAAGTAGATTGAGATTTAAGAAAAGCAACTTACCATTGGAATGAATGGGTAATCAGAGACTTGCTACGAAGTTCTAATTTTTTTTAAGTGCTTAATTTGACAGTGGTTTGTTTACCTACTGTTCAGCTGACTCAAAATGAATTATTATGCAAAGAACTGACTTTCCAGTTCATTTTAATGTTATGATAGGTTTCAAACAGGCTGGAAAATTTTTAATTTTTCATGGAATCTTATAGACTTTAAAGCATATGTGCTATAGATAAAGAAAATTGTGTTTTTAATGTGTAAATTATACAGCATACATGGCAACTCTTCCCATATAGTGTACTAGCCTGACTGTATTAAATATACTGCAGGAAAAAAAATATATAGAATTTCTGACTCCTATATCACAACTCCATCCCCGATCCAACAGCATTACTGCTAATAGCTCTTAGTTGTCTCCTAATAAGAGACATTGTTATTATTAAACTAGTAATCTTTGATCAGTCCTCCATTTTAGCTGAAAAAATATTAACCATTTATTTGTGTGATTTTTTTTAAGTGTCAATATTTAACTGAAAACTGTGGTAAATACTGTACAACAAACAAAATTGTCAGTGTCACCAGCTATTCTTCATGTTCTTAGAATTGGTTTAAAAGGGATATGTTATATATTTTACTCTCAGTATGTTTAGAAAATTAATAATTGCCTCTAGAGCCTGTTTTTCTTCCTCACGCCATTGATTTTCAGATTTTGAACTGTGATGTCGTATTTTAAATTTATATTTTATTTCACCTGCTCCCTCTACTCTTTGCTTTTTTTCTACCTCTCGTTTTTTTTTCTTCTCTTGTTCACTACACCACCCCTTGTCCTACTAGCCTCCCCCCCCCCCTTTTTGGTTAAATAATTTATAAATAGCTTTATGTTGCTAGTTTTTATGGATATTTTGTGACACTCCTTTTAGATAATTCTTTTGTGTATTACCAAGGCAAAGAAGGTAATATATTGTAAAGTATTTCACAGGAGTTCCAGGGAACCCTGTGATAGTGAGTGACAAGCTGTGACCCAGTATATTCCTAAAAATAGAGAGGTGCCCGCTTGAGTGGGCATTTTTGCTTCTTCTCATTGCCAGCTAGTGATGCTTTTCCTGATTAATCTTTGGCATTACAGTGGCTGGAACGCAGCTTCAGGGAATAAGCACAAAGTAGTTCAATGCACTTAGACTCTCAAAAAGAGCACAGCACAGCAAATACACTCTTGCAGAAAAATAAGAAAAAAAAGTAAGCAATATTAGTCCTGAGCCTGTGTTGATTTCTCTATTAATGAGAAAGAAAATGATTTTCCAAATGTGCAGCTCTAACCCTTTAAATTGTCATTTTTGGTCCAATTCCTACACAGCAACAATAAAATTAATACTTTATTCTGTGTAGAGCATACAATATTTTTTCAATAATGTGCCTAAGGTTTTCTGCATACTTTTTAATATGTTAATGATCATTGATTTTAAATAAATGCTTTAAAAAAGATGGGAATTGTGAAAGTTTGTGTCCAACATAGTCTCATATGCATATCCAAATCTCAGTGTAGTATATGTTTAGTTTTATGTATCACAAATGGCAGTTAATCTCAAGTCTATCAGCAAAATCTTATCAAATGGAAATATTCCAAGAAAGAAACACATTGGAGT